AGCAGCTGCAGCAGTTCGTTGGAGAGAAGCTGCTGCTGCTGCAGCAGCAGCTGCTCAGCGATGTATGGATCTATGATACAGCAGCAGACAGCTGGCTGCAGCTGCTGCCCGGGCTGCAGCAGGACCTCTCTGGGGGCCCCGCAGTGCCTGCAGCAGCAGCAGCACCACCAGCAGCAGCACCAGCAGCAGCAGCAGCAACAGCAGCAGCAGCGGGAGCAGCAGCAGAGCAAACAGAGAATGGCAGTCCACTCCCTTCTGCCCCTCCTGCTGCTGCTCCTGCAGCAGCAGCAGCAGTAGCAGTAGCAGCAGAGGAGTGGTAGCAGAAGAGGAGCAACAGGAGTTGCATGCACATACCGCTCCAAAAAAAACCCCGTGCTGTTGCTGCTGCTTCTGCTGCTGTTGCTGCTGCTGCTGCTGCTGCTGCTGCTGCTGCTGCTGCTGCTGCTGCTGCTGCAGGCTATCGGACTGCTGGTACTTTGATTTGCTGCTGCAGCAGTGGAAGCAGCGAAAGGAGCCGTGGCTGCTGCCGCCTTCCTTTTGGATAGCTGAGGGCCCCCAGGTGACAGCCCCGTCGCATGCGCTGCATTCTGCTTCTCTCTGGTGCAGCAGCAGCAGCAGCAGCAGCAGCAGCAGCAGCAGCAGCGGCGGTGGTGGTAGTGGCAGCGGCAGCGGGGGCAGCAGCGGCAGCAGCAAGCCGAGACCTGCTGCTGTTCTACCCGATGAAGACCCGTATACCAAAAGAAAGCAGCAGCAGCAGCAGAAACAGCAGCAGCAGCAGCAGCAGCAGCAGCAGCAGCACAAACAGCAGCAGCAGCAGAAGAAGAAAGAGTATGATTATAATAAAATAAAACAGCAAATTGCTGCTGCAGCAGAGAACCTCCCCGTTGGTGGATCTATAATTATCTTTGGAGGCATCCGCAGCGGCAGCAGCAGCAGCAGCAGCAGCAGCAGCAAGACAAGCAGCAGCAGCAGCAGCAGCAGCAGCAGCAGCAATACATATCTAACAAATGAAGTATTTAGATACTACCCAGAAGAGAGGGTTTGGTGTCTCCTTTCTCCTCGGGGGTCTCCACCAGAACCCCGCATGCGGTCCGCTTCACTTTGCTGCTGCTGCTGCTGCTGCTGCTGCTGCTGCTGTTGCTGCTGCTGCTGGTGTTGTTGTTGCTGCTGCTGCTGCTGTTTGCATGTTGCTTCTTTTGCTGCTGCAGCTGTTGATGAAGCTGCTAATACTTGCTCTGCTGCAGCAGCGACC